AAAAAAAAAAAAAAGAAAATACACTCCACCAGAGAAGGGACCAGTTTTGTTTTGCTCACCCCAGTACCTGACACACATAGGGCTCAAAATAAGTAACTAATGTCAAATTTCCTACCATGAATATTATTAATGTATCTAGTCCTGAGTTTTATTTCAGCACTAAACCAGTCTTCTAACAAACTTGGCACCCTTTAACTTAAAAACAGATAAGAAACAATGAGTCTGCAAGTTTTGGGGATGGCTGAGGGAACATGTTGGTCAAGCAACTTACAGCAGCAAGATGAGCCAGCTTCCTGCGAAGCATAAAGTAAAACTATTAAAAAAAAAAAAAAAGTCAAAAACTGAATCAGGCTCATGCCTGTATCCCAGCAATTTGGGAGGACAAGGTAGGAGGATTGCTTGAGGCCAGGAATTCAAGACGCGCCTATAGCAAAACCGTCTCTATAAAAAATTAAAAATTTAGCTGGGTGTGGCAGGGTGTGGCGGCTCACGCCTGTAATCCCAGCACTTTGGGAGGCTGAGGTGGGCAGATCATGAGGTCAGGAGATCGAGAGACGATGAAATCCTTGTCTCTACTAAAAGTACAAACAAATTGGCCGGGCAGGGTGACACACGCCTGTAGTCCCAGCTACTCAGGAGGCTGAGGCAGAATTGCTTGAACCCAGGAGGCGGAAGTTGCAGTGAGCCAAGATCATGCCACTGCATTCCAGCCTGGGCAACAGAGCGAGACTCTGTCTCAAAAAAAAAAGAACATTTTAGCTGGGTGTTGTGGTGGCACACACCTCTAGTCCCAGCTACTTGAGAGACTGAGGCAGGCGGATTGCTTGAGCTCAGGAGTTCGAAGTTATAGCGAGCTATGATAGTGCCACTGCACTCCAGCCTGAGTGAGACAGGAAGACCCTGTCTCCAAAGAAAAAAAAAGGCCTCAGACGACTTTGATTGAATCAGTTCTTTCTCTTCCCTATTTTTCTTAGAGACAGGGTCTCCCTCTGTCACCCAGGCTGGAGTGCAGTGATGGGATCAAACTCACTACAGCCTCCTCCCACCAGCCTCCTAAGTAGCTGGGACTACAGGCACGTGCCACCATGCCTGGCTAATTTTTTTATTTTTAGTAGAGACAAGGTCTTGCTATGCTGCTCAGGCTGGTCTCAAACTCCTGAGCTAAAGCGATCCTCCTGCCTCAGCCTCCTGAAGTGCTAGGATAACAGGCATGAGCTACTACACCCATTGGAGAAAAACACCCCAAATATTTCAAGAACCTATGAGGGTACTACTTAAATAACTGTTAATAGTTACTGTGGCTCACTGCTTACTATGTGCCCAATTTTGTGTTAAGCACGCTACCTGAATTAACTAATTTAATTTTCACAAAACTCTTAGATAGGTATTATTATCAGCCACATTTTAGAAATGAGACACTAGTCCAAGCTTACACAGCTAATCAGTGACAACGCTGAGATCAGCCGGGCAATCTGCCTCCAGCATCCACATTCTACCACATTGAGGACAGCCTGATGCAATCGCTGGAATCACCAAGAAAAACAGTTTAACTCTGTGCAATACTAAGTAAGAAAGCAGGGAACTATAATGATATGTTTGCACTGAATTATAAAAATGTTGCTACTAAAGGCTCATGCCCTGGGGAGCAGAGTTGAAGGCATCACGGCACACTCCCGCTCTGCAATCTCCCAGTGCTCTGAGCACCAAGGGTCTGCTTCTGTCACCTTTCTCAACAAACTCTTCCCTGGTAAACCCTTCATCAACTTCATGATAATTCAATTCAGCCATGACTTCAACCACAGGCTGCAAGGCTAGAAAGGCTAAACATATACTCTGGTTTTCAGGCCCCGTACCTCATCCTGGAGCTAGGAGGGCTGAAAACGTTTACACCAGACACAAATGTGAAATGATACCCTGTCTCCCAATTTTAATACCAAACCCATTAGTTTTGGCCATGCACCCCAGACCGACCAGATAATTATCTTGCCCAACCCCACATCCTGAACCCACAGGAGAGGCTGGCTATCCCTAGGACAGGGCAGACACCAATCACAGCCTTACCTTCCCCTTCAGCGTCTGCAAAGCATCCAGGTAGGCTGCCAGCATGGGCAGACTCAAGGTCTCCACGAGGGTGGTGTGCAGCCACTGGATCAGCTTGGTGTCCCAGCTCACACTTGCCAGAGCTTGCCGCACTCTCCTTGCACACTTGTCCACAGCAACACGGCGCAGCACTGGCTCATTACAAGCCTGAAGGATGTAAGTGGAAGTGATAAAACATGAGGACTACCTGGTTAACAAGTGGGGGGACAAGTCAGTCAGCCAGTGAGGCCTGAACTACGAAGAGCCCACTGTGGGCGGATTTCTGGTGTCTTACCCCTTCGTTGGCCAAGCGGGCAAGCCGGTCAGACTGCAGGGCTTTGAGGATCTTGTTGAATAGCTTGTTCTGGGCCATTGTCCAGCCAGTCCTATAAGGGAAACTCTGAGGAATTATAGTCAAACCCTGGGGACGCTCCCCATGTATGTATAAAGAATATTATGCTATAGTTTTATGTCTCCACCATGGAATAGTAAAACGAAGTAGCTTAGTCTAAGACCATTGAGCTAAAACACAAGACCTAGATTCTGGTCCCAATCCTACCAAATGAAATTGTCACAGCACACATTTGTATTAATAACACACATACATTTCCACACACACACAGTAATATACACAGTACAAGTCAAGACTAGTCATGAATAAAGTCTTTCAGGCTAGCAAAGCTAATTATTTGCTTAGTAGCTAAAATAATCCCAATCATAAATAAAAGCACAGCACCATTGAACAGACATATTTGAATTTCATAAGTTATATATTTCACACAAAAAGGCAGACAGGATCAGCAAGCATTTTAATGTACTAAAATCTCAGACTAAGGTAACAATTCTTTTTAAACTAGACTTAAGAACAAAAATATAGCGGAAATATAACCAATAAAGAGGCTATTCTTCCACTCTTCAATAATCTACCCCACACTAATCTCCCTTTTCCATATATATTTTTTCTATATGTCACACAATTAGCAAATTTATTTTCGAGAGGCCTGTTCCATATAGGCTAATATGTTATCATCCCAGTATACGGCACTGGCATTCACACATCTACCTTATTGCTTATTGCTTACCTATTACTTACTGAGGCTTTGTGAGTCGCACACATCTATCCTACTGTTCTCATCTCTACTTCATCACACCCAGTATAGTGATATGGAGCTTATTATTGTCCCCCTTGACCCCACTTCCAGCAATCCTAATTACTCAGATGCTCTAACTCTGGCTAGTGACCTTCCTAAAGATACCAAAAGAAAGGCAATTGAAGATGCTCTATAATATTTACCTATTCTCCCTGCCTTAAAAAAAAGCTGATGATGGCCAGGCGCAGTGCCTCACACCTATAATCCCAGCACTTTGGGAGGCCAAGTGGGGTGGATCGCTTGAGTTCAGGAGTTCAAGACCAATCTGTGCAAATGCCAAAACTCCATCTCCACAAAAAATACAAAAATTAGCTGGGCATGGGTAGTGCATGCCTGTAGCCCCAGCTACTCGGGAGCATGAGGTGGGAGGATCACTTGACCCCAGGAGGTTGAGGCTGCAGTGAGCCGTGATCATGCCATTGCACTCAAAGCTTCAGTGACAGTGAGGCCTTGTCTCAAAAAAAAAAAAAAAAAAATTACATGGGTGCTGCACCCAAATGAGACCCTGGAATGGGATCAAGGTAGCATTTCAAATCAGTCTGGATAAAGTCCCTAAATGTAGAGCTGAGACAACCACTGGCCAACTGGAAAAAGAAAATCTGATCCCTACATATCATTCTACATCAAAATAAATTTCAGATGGAAGAAAATGAAGACATAAAAGGAAGAAAGAGAAATGTAACTACATAAAAATTTCAAACTTTGGCCAGGCATCTGGAATCCCAGCACTTTGGGAAGCCAAGGTGGGTGGATCACGAGATCAGGAGTTCAAGACCAGCCTGGCCAATATGGTGAAACCCCATCTCTACTAAAAATACAAAAATTAGCTGGGCGTGGTTGCGTGCGCCTGTAGTCCCAGCTACTCGGCAGGCTGAGGCAGAAGTGCTTGAATCCGGGAGGCAGAGGTTGCAGTGAGCCAAGATTGCGCCACTGCACTCTAGCCTGGGTGACAGAGTGAGACTCCGTCTTGGAAAAAAAAAAAAACATATTCAAACTTTAAGCTGGGCATGGTAGCATGTGCCTGTAGTTCCACATACTTGGGAGGCTGAGGCAGGAGGAGCCCAGAAGTTCAAGTCTGGCCTGGGCAACATGTCTCTTAAAAAAAAAATTTAAAAAATCAAAAAGGTATAAACAAGATCAAAACACAACGAGAAAATGACTGCCATTTCATTAAAATAGAAAGAGGCTCTAGAAAATAAGAAAAAGATGAAATACTCAAGGGCAAAGAACACAAAAGAAGGTAGGTCACAAAAGAAGTAAAGTCAACTCTACTTCAAAATTAAACAGGCTGGGCGTGGTGGCTCATGCCTGTAATCCCCGCACTTCAGGAGGCCAAGGCAGGCGGATCAAAAGGTCAGGAGTTCAGGACCAGCCTGGCCAACATAGTGAAACCCTGTCTCTACTAAAAATACAAAACTTAGCCGGGTGTGGTGGCGTGCGCCTGCGGTCCCAGCTACTTGGGAGGCTGAGGCAGGAGAATCATCTGAACCTGGGAGGCGGAGGTTGCAGTGAGCTGAGACAGTGTCGTTGCACCCCAGCCTGGGCGAGAGAGAGAGACTCCATCTCAAAAAAAAAAAAAAAAAAAATTAAATGCAGCCAGGCAAGGTCTGAGGCAGGAGGAAAGCTTGGACTCAGGAGTTGGAGACCAGCTTGGGCAACAAAGTGAGACCTTGTGGCAGGTGCCCAAAGTTCCAGCTATTCAGGAGGCTAAAGCTGGAGGATGGCTTGAGTCTAGGATATCAAGGCTGTAGTAATGTATGATCATGCCACAGGGCGACAGAGCAAGACCTTGTCTTAAAAAAAAAAAAAAAAAAAGAACCAACAAGTGCAAATTAATAAAGTATTATTTTTTCACCTATCAAACTGGTAAAAATTAAGTTTAATAATTCTCTGTTGTTGAGAGGGTACAAAAGAACTCCGTATTCTGTTGATGGAAATATAAATTAGTACAACCTTCTGGAAAAGCCAATTTGGAAGAATTAATTGAAAAAACTAAGTCAGATCATGTCACTCCTTTGCTCAAAGTCCTTCAGCGGTCCCAGTTCAATCAGTTAAAAGCCAAAGTCCTTGCAATGGGCTGCATGGACTCCATGTCTTTCAGATCTTACCATCCATGACTGATCCTCACTTACTTCACTCACACTGCCTTTCCTCACAGCCCCCTCCACTCCCCTGCCCTCACACACACAACAGGCACACTCCTGCATCACAGACCAGGGCTCTGCCCTTCATTACGCCAACCTGAAACAATGGCTCCCTCTCTCATCTCCTTCAGGTTGTTGCTCAAATGTCACCTGCTGAGGCTTGCTCTGACCTATCTCTATTTAACACTGTAACCCTCCAGTGTTACCCTGGGATTCACTAACCTGCTTTCCAGAGGTATCACTACCTCATAGTCTATCCATGCTATTTATTTGTTTAGTTTGTTTCTCTCTGCCAAGGTGTAAAAGGCCAAGATGGCCAGGACTTTTGTTGGTTTTGTTTAAGTGCTATATCCGCAGCACATAAAACAGAGTCACACACATACTGGGGAGTTAAACATCTGCTGAATAAATAAACGGATGGATTGTGTGCACATTGCATTCTAAGTTCTGTAAACAGCCAGGTCCCTATCCAAAACCTCAGACTCTATACCATGTTAATGCTGAGGAGCAAAGAGGAACACAGGCACATGATCTATGTCCTTCACCAAGACAGTCAGACCGCAGGAACAACAACATCAACAATCTCAGTTTCTCTGGCTTCATAAGAGACCAGCATCCTTTCCATCATATCCCACCCCACAAGATACTCTCATTTCTACAGGTCATTGTTCTAGGAACACCAACAATATGGCCCAGTGAGTATGCAGATGGAGGACAATTACCCTTTGTTATTCACTTTGTACAACTACCTAAAAGTTCCTGGATAGAGCAAATACCCTCTAGAAAGGAGGAAAACAATAGTCAAACTCCTTTTCCTTCTGTAAAATAAAATCTCCACCTACCACACCTCCAGTTTTACAACTTAACCACATTACAGGATCCAGGAGAACCCTACCTAGGGACAAGGGTTCTATCCCACTCTCTAATAAAGAGCTATGTGCTCTGAGTCTTCTTGTCCATAAAATACATACAGCTACATTACCTCTAAGTTCCTTCTAACAATAAAACAATTCAGGTTAACTACGATTACTGATAGCAGCAAAAGTTGAGAGCAGTGGAAATCCAAGATTAGAGAAACAAAATGGGATGACTGTCTTCTTCAGAAGCACCCTCTACCTTCAGAAGCTTTCCTTGCTAGAGCTAAATCCTCTCTTAACTGCCAAAACCTCCCATCCTTTTGTAACCCCCTTTTGGGGGTACTAGAATCAGTCTGAGGTTTCTTGGAATTGTCCTTTTTCTTATTCTTCCCTAGTTATCTTGGCTTAATCTCTGCTACTTCATCAGGATCCAGTTTTTGTGGTTTGACATTCAGAGATTCTGGACTTCAAAGGTGAGGGGATGAAAGTTTCAACTCAATGTTGGGACTCAGGATGCCTTGGAACTGGGAAGGTTTGTTGAGACCAGAAGCTCCAGCCCCATTGGTTCATCTTGTTTTCTGTCACATTATTTAAATGCACAGCAGACCCACAAGAGTAGCAGCTCTCTTATGTACAGTGAGTCTCAGATGGGCTTGAGAATTTGATGGTGGCAGGAGGATAGGAGGAGACAGAGCAGACGCTTACAAGTCATTTGAAAAAGCTCTCTACAAACATGGATATATCTCCATGTTAATACACTTGTTTTTAAAGGCTAGGTAAGTTGTACCTTATTTGTGGACATTTAGGTTGTGCATTTTTTATTGCAATTTATAAGCCACTGCAGTGACCACCCCTCTCTTCCTCAAATATATACATACACAACTATCTATATTTTATTATTAATTCTTGTTTTTGTTTAGACAAGAGTCTTGCTCTGTTGCCCAGGCTGGAGCGCAATGGTACAATCTTGGCTCACTGTAACCTCTGCCTCCCAGGTTCAAGTGATTCTCCTGCCTCAGCCTCCAGCGTAGCTAGGACTACAGGGGCACGCCGCCACGCCCAGCTAATTTTTATATTTTTAGTAGAGGCGAGGTTTCACCATGTTGGCCAGGCTGGTCTCGAACTCCTGACCTCAAGCGATCCACCCGTGTCAGCCTCCCAAAGGGCTGGGATTACAGGTGTGAGTCACCACGCCCAGCCCTATCTATCTATATTTTATACACTCACACAAGTA